TATTTGTATTCATATTGTACAGTTTTAGTCACATAACCGTGTCTTAGATTCATTAAAGGTAACATTGTTGAGGTATGCAGGTCAATTCCAGTATTTGTATTACCGGTACTCTTGCTCTATATAAATGGATTGAAAAGTGTGTCATACTCACCTGGAGAGTGTACTAACATCCCACCTGTGACAAACTACTTTCCTGTCAATTCTGCACACTTATCACTGATTTGTTCATACAGCCCTTGGCTAGTTCATAAAAGTTAATAATTTACATCCATTGATCATAAACTCCTTCAGGTTTATCAAGTTCATATTCTTCGCAAAAAAATATTATTCAAACTACATGTAACTATAAAATATTTGTTCTCAAGTATGTTGTTGGAAAAGAATATTTACAATCTGAGCTACTTATTAGGCAGTTACTGTTGATTCCAATTGTTTACAAATTGTAGATGATTTAATTTGTTTTCAAAGATCATCACCATAAATAAACTTTGAACCATATTAGGCTGCCAGGGTCTATTCATATATGTGTATGACATGGTCAATAACAGCAGAAACAAGCAATGGGTTTAAGACTTTTTAATCAGTTTTTTGGTATATATGTAATAATAAATGCTCTATCTTTCATAAAGTGCCAGTACATTGCTATTAGATTTGTTGTTATTTACAGGTCTGTACCACTCTGTGTGTTTCTTCTTTGGTACATTGCTTCTGTTTTCAGATGATGTTTCACTATTACCAAGTTCAAAGGTAAGTCCATTGGTTAATTACATGTATATGTAGTCCTACAGAAGTCATAATTGATTATCGCCAATGTTGTTTGTTTCAATGTTACTCTGGCTGTGTCTTCTGATTTCAAATTAAGTACGAACTATTACCAATACAACAATGAATATATATGTATCACTGTGCAACTCTATGCAATGGTGTAGCATGCCAAACATCCAGAGCACCAGTACACATTGTGCTTGTTCATGATATTTTATCCTCAATTTCCATTGGAATGTGAATATTTTTTTTTAATGTTTGAATAGTTATTCTTGAAAATATATACACTAGCTTGTCAATAATTAGCAATAATTATGAAACCACATAAAAATACAGAATCCAGGCTAGCCTGACACAATTCATCTCGTGAAGGTTGGCAGCATATGCACCAAGTTGTGTGTATTCTGAATCATGTTAAAATCTATCATGAAATTTAAGTCATTTCAAGTGTCTAATAAATGTGTTTCTTTTTTTTGTAGCAATATGGTATCTGGACTTTTGGTTCTGTTATCATGACACTGGTTGTATTGGTTGTTAACATTAAGGTATTTTGTTGAATCAATTAGTATTAAATTTGCATTCATTCATGTTGCTGTGTTTGGGTTTTGGTCTGTTATGTGAAATTTTTGATGGTATAAATACACATAAATTATGAGAATTCAATATTTATAGTCCTGACAATGAAATAGAGGAATGTTACATGTATTCTTTTTCTTCAGTTTTAGTATATGCTGAAAACATAACACTATCAGTAATACCACCTTATTGACCACACCACAGGTGTTTTACAATGTCACCTTTGGATTTGTTGATGTATCTTAACAATGTTTATATGCTTCATTTTAACAGTTATGTTATGAAACACGTCACTGGGATGGTATTTGGATATTCTCAATGGCATTAACATTAATAGGATACTTTGTTCTTCTCATGTTATACAGTGGTGTGTTCTGGTAAGCACTTTTGTAATCTTTTACCAACAGAAATAGACATGTTTACAATAAACTTTTACTAATAAATTTCAGTGTTAGAAATTTTGTGATTCGTGAAATTCAAGATGGTCGTATAGCGGCCATTTTTGTGCTAAAAAATCCTAAAAATCAAGCATTTCTCGGCTGTTTACAGATGGATTTTGTTCAAACTTGGAATATACATTAGACATTATAGCACCTTGATGCACATCATTTTGTTGTACGATCTGATTCAAGATGGTCGAATGGCTGCCATTTTTGTGCTAAAAAATCCTAAAAATCAAGCATTTCTCGGCT